TTTTTTTTTTTTTTTTTTTTTTTTTTTTTTTTTTTTTTTTTTTTTTTTTTTTTTTTTTTTTTTTTTTTTTCACAATTTATAAAAGACAATTATGTATGCCGTTAAAATGGTTTATACATTTTAAATTTAGATTAATTTATATTTACATACATATATATGTATTTTTTTCTTAATTTTTACCGTTATTTACTAAAAGATATATTTTCTTTTATTACTTTTGCATTTATCTAAATTTTACTACTAAAAAAATATACAAAAAAAAAAAAAAAAAATTATAAACACAATAACTATATATACGTGGATAAATAATTTAGAAAATATTGTATGTTATTTATGTATTATATAAAAATTTAAATAATAAATATATATATATATATATATATATATATATATATATATATGTAAATTATTATAGAAAGACTTTTAAAACTTATTTTTTTTATTTAATTACAATTATAGACATAATTTTTTTTAAATGCATAATTTTAAGAAAATTTTCTATCAGAAAATCATAATAAAAAAAATATGCTTGGAATAAAAAATGGTTTTACTAGTTACTACAAAGAAAAAAAAAAAAAAAAGAAATTTAGAATTTTTTTCCTTTTTTTTGTTTTTAAAAATTTAAAATTATGATTATTTCAAATATCAACTTTAAGTATAATTTCCTATAATTCATACAACATATAATTACATTAAATTTTATAAATTAAATTTTTTTATCTAGTTTTCATTTTTCTGTTAAATAAATGGAAAATGTTATATTGCAAAATAACACATATTCTAGTAAAAATAAGGAAAGTGAAGAATCTCATGATAAAACTAATTTTAAAACTAAATATGTAGATATAATAATAAATGAAAATAAAAATGATAAAATAAAAAACTGTGATATACAAAAAGAATTATACATTGAAGGTAACTATAATGAAAATAACAGAACAAACGAAACAGAATCATGTTTTATAAAAAAGGTAAAAGAAAAAAAAAAGAAGAAAAAAAAAAAAAAAGAAAAAGAATTAGAAGGCTGTTTAGAAAACCTTACATATGATGATAACTTAGAAAGCTCAAATGACAATTTAAATAGTATAATTCATTTTTTAGAAAATGTGAATATTAGTAAAATATTACATTCTAATAATTCAGAAGAAATAGGAAATTTTAAAAATGAGTTTAAAAAAATGTTAAAATTATTAAAAATAAAAGAGATAAAAAATAAACAAAATGAAGAAAAAGTAAGAACGCTAAAGGAAGAATTAGAAAAAAACTTAATTAAAAATAAAGAAATTACGAAAAATTATGATGAAGAAAAAAAAAATGTTTTTCTATTGCAAAATCAAATAGATAAATTACAGTTACTATTTGATAAAAATCAGAAAAAAGAAGATAAATGGAATTGTGAAAAAGAGAATTATTTGGAAAATATTGAAACCCTGAAAACTAATATTGAAGAATTTGAAGTAAAAATTGAAAACAAGAATAATGAAATTGAAAGTTTAAAAAGAGAAAATGAACATATATTACTAAAAGTAGATAATTTAGAAAAAAATGCGAAAGAATTAAAAAATGAATATAATGAAATAAATGAAAATTTAAATTCTATAAAAAATGAAAATCTTAAAAAAAATATTACTATAGACAATTTAAAAAAGGAATTAGAAGAAAAAAAAAAATTAGATGAGGAATATAATAAAGATAAATTGTTAATTGAAAAAAATACAGAGATACTCATAGAAGAGAGGAATTATATCAATGAAGAATTAATAAAAACTCAAAAATTACTAGAAAATCAAATAAATAAAAATAGAGACTTAGAAAATAGTAAGATAAATTTATTAGAAAAAATTGATCTTTTAGAAAAAAAACAAAAAGAAATGTTAAAAAAAAACAATGATTTGGAACAAAAGTTAGAAGATGTGAATAAAAAAAATAAATTGCTTTTAAATGAATCAAAACTAAAGCAAACTGAAATTCTAACTAATACTTCAATTATTAACAGCCTGACTAGTAATAACACCAAAATGAAAATGAAATTAGATCAAGAATATTATAAAATAAAAATGCTAGAAAAAGAAAAAAAATCTTTAGGAATAAATGTGAAATCACTGACTTACGAAATTCAGAAAATTGTAAAATTAACTGAAGAAATTAAAACAAAATATCAAAATCAAAAAAGAGAAATAAATGATTTAATAATAGAAAAAGAACAAACGAAAAAACTAATTGAAAAAATTGATGATACTATTAAGAAAAATACAGAAGTATCAAAGAAAGAAAAACTTTCTAATATAAATTTAGAAAAAGATATAAAAAAAGGGATAGAAGAGAAGAATAAACTAAATGAAGATATACAATTATTAATGAAAGAAAAAGAGAAATTGATGCATGAATTATCTCAAACTAACAACAAGATAACAAATAGTACAAACGAGTTAGTAATAAAAGATAACAAGATTAATACATATATAAAGGTTGTAAATTCTCTAAAAAATGAATTGGCAAAAGAAAAATCTTTGTGTGAAAATATTAAAAGTGAAAAAATAAATACCAGTAAAAATTTAATAGAAACTAAAGAAAAGTTAAATAACTTAGAAGAAAAATTTAAGATTCAAGCTAATGAATTAGATGTTATAAAATCTGAAAAAAAAAATTTAGAATGTAAAATAAATGATTTAAAAGAAGGAAAAAAAAATTTATTAAATCAAAATGAAAAATTACGAGAACAAATAGACAAATTTAAAATTCAAAATGAAAATACAAAAACCTCATTTATTCATGATAAAAAAACAATAGAACATCTAGAAATAGAAATAAATGAGTTAAATAACAAATTGAAAAATAGTGAAAAAAATGTTAAACATATAAAAAAAGAAAAGGACACGTTAAATAATGAGCTTTGTGAAAAAACAGAAGAAATAACAACACTAAAAGAAAAATTAAAATTATTACAAATTTCCCATGATAAATTAGATTTAAGTAACAAAAATTTATTGCAAGAAATAAATAATTTAAATAAAAAAGTATCTAATTTAAAAAATGCTAATGAATTAAGCAGTGTGTCAAAAGAGACATTGCATAATAGCAGATTAGAAATAAATTCCTTAAAAAAGGAGTTAATCAATGAACAAAACAAAGTTAAAACGTTATCAGAAGAATTAGAAAAACCAATTAATATTCACAGGTGGAGAAACTTAGAAGGCAATGATCCCACAGCATTTGACTTGATTCAAAAATTAAAAAATGTTCAAAAAAAGTTAATTGAGAAAACAGAAGAATCAATGAAAAAAAACGTTTTACTAGAATCGAAAACAAAAGAATGCGATGATTTACAAAAAGAACTAGATAAAAAATTAAGATACACCAATATACAGGATATAACACAAATAAAACAAAAATTACGGGAAAAAGAAACTCTCATTAAATCATTAACAGCTGAAATTTCTATGTATCAAGAAGAAGACGTTAAAAAAAAAAAGTAGATAAATGTATGATAAAGAAAAAAAACTAATTAAAATACATATAAAAAAATTTAATATACGTTATATGAAGTATAATAATAAAAAAAAAAAAAAAAAAAAAAAAAAAAAAGGATACTACAAAATATATTTTTTTTAAAAAAAACAAAATTCAGTTATTTTTGTTATTAAATTCACATAACATTAATTTAATAGTAATTTAAAAAATTTTTTTTTTTTTTTTTTCCAATAAATAATAATGATATTCTTTTTTTATTTTTTAAGAACCATGTAATTATTACAATTTGGGTAGTATAAAAATAAAATATATTAAAATTATTGTGAATAATTATCAACTGTTATGAATAACTAAAATCTTTCGTTCTAATTAAGAAAATTTATTTTATTTACAAAAATAATATATAAGTTTTATTTAAAAATATTACTAAAATAAAAAAAATTTTAATAAAACAAAAAAAAAAAAAAATAAAATAAAATAAAATAAAATAAATAAATATATGGTTCATGAAATGATAAGACTAACTCTTTATTCAAAATATCTTTTTAAATAACTTGGAATATCATTTCCACTATAATGTTTTAATAAAACAAACAATGATGGACAAAAAAAAATATTTAAATTTTTCAAATAATGTAAATTTTTTTTATTCTCCTCACTATTAATATACTCATTCATATCTTTGATATTGTTCCATTTTTCAATATAAAGCGTTTCTATGAAATAATTATTTTCTTTTATATATATATTGTAATTATTAAATCCTTTTTTTAATTCTAATGGATCAAAGCAATACCTTAATTCATTAAATATATTTTTAAAAAAACCTTCTTTTTCACATACAAACTTATTTAATAAAATACCATTTGTTGAACTTATGTTGTTAATAGAAAAAAAAAATATATCTCTTAAAATCCAACCACTCAGTAATCCACTAGCACCAAAAATAACATACTTAAACATATTTAATTATAAAAGGTAAAATATTATATTGAATTTTAAATTATACAATTTTTAAAATAGGAATATATTTATGTTAAAATTAAATTATTAACACTTTTTTTTCTCCCTTTACTTAATTTTGAAAATATTCTCACAAAAAGTATTTCTTTTATTTTTTTAGAAAGAATGTTTATTTTTAAAACGGAATAATTAATAATTTCAAATTTCTATAATATTTAATGAAAATCATAGTAAAAATAATATAGTAACAAACTAAATAAAATTAATAAATCTAATTAAGTAAAAAATAAAATATATAATAAAGGGCCCCAAAAAAAAAAAAAAAAAAAAAAAAAAAAAAAAAAAAATAGTGCAATAAATATATTAATTAAAAGAAATGAAAAAAAAAAAAAAAAAATAATAAAATAATTCTAAAATTAATTTGAATATTCAAAAGAATGTTAAAATCTCAAAAAAATAAATCAGAATAAATATTAAGAAAAATAATAAATCAGCACTAAATAAAATTTAATGAAGGCAAGTACAATTAGAAATTTTATGTAGAAATAGGGAAGAAAAAAAAAAAAAAAAAAAAATAGATAATTTTATGAAAACATTAATAGGGAAATACCGTGTATTATTAAGAAATATATGTGAAAACATAAGTTTTAGGAAAAGAAAAAAAAAAAACAAGTTATATAAAGTAAATAAAATAATTAGCATAAAAAGATTTTTATATGCATCTTCTATTTTTTGTTTCAGCATGCAAAAAATTATAGGAACTCATTCAGGGAGATTTCATACTGATGAGATTTTGGCTTCAGTTATGTTAAAATTTTTACCCGAATACAAAGATGCAACTATTATAAGGACACGTGATCAAGATAAATTGGATAAATGTGATGTTGTGTTAGATGTAGGAGGTGTATATAATCATGAAATGAAAAGATACGATCATCATCAAAAAGAATTTAATGGAACATTAGATGAAAGACATAACATACGATTAAGTAGTGCAGGTTTAATATATAAGCATTACGCAAAAGATATATTTAGGAGAGGGTTTAATATAACAGATGAAGATAAAGTTAATGTCTTGTATGATAAAATTTATTCTGCTTTTATTGAGTCAATTGATGCAATAGATAACGGTATTAATCAATATGAAGGAGAAGAAAAATATCAAATAAATACAACTTTACAAAATAGGGTAAGCAGATTAAATCCAAATTTTTTAGAAGATGATATTGATGAAGATGAACGTTTTATGATAGCTTCTAATCTTGTTAAAGAAGAATTTCTTTATTTTGTAAATTATTATTCAAATGTATGGTATTTAGCTAAAAATATTACAAGAGAAGCAATTGAAAATAGATTTAATTTTCACAAATCAGGGAGAGTTATACATTTATCAAAGAATTGCCCTTATTATGAACACGTATATGATATAGAAGAAGAATTAAATATAAAAGGAGATATTTTATTTTGCATTTTTTTTGACAGATATAAAAATTATAGATGCACTGCTATTTCAAAAAAAAATGAAAATTTTGCATTAAGACTTCCATTCCCAGCTAATTTTAGGGGTTTAAGAAACGAAGAATTAGAAAAAGTTTCCAACATAAAAGGATTAACTTTTGTTCATTATTCTGGTTTTACTAGTGGAGGAGAAAATCTTGAATGCTTAATAAAATTAGTAGAAGCTACTCTAAAAGAAAATAATATTGAATTTTAACTCTTAATAAATCATTGCATTAAGCTGAAAAGAAAAACCAACTTTTTTTTTTTTTTTTTTTTTCGTTCATATTTTGAAGGTTATAATATTTTAAAAAAAGCATTGTTATTAGATAAAATATTAATTTCTTAAATAATTATTCTTTAAAAGATAAATTTATTTTAAAAATTCATAATAGATATTTACTTTTTTTTTTTTTTTTGTAGAATTTCTTTTTTGCATTTATAAAATGTAGTATTTTTAAGTTCAAACTATATAATAATTTTATAAATAAATTATATCCCTTATTATAAATATATGCATATTATCAAACAAGTTATATTTAGCATTTTCAAGTTTATGTAAAAAATAAAATATAACAAAAAATAAAGCAATTTATAATTATAGAAACCAGAAGAAAAAAAATTTTTTTTATGTTATTTTGTTAACAAAACAAAAAACCTTTTAATATTATATTATGATTAGCTTTTTTAGTTTTTGTAATGTTTTTTTTTTTTTTTAATAATTTTTTTGAATAAAAAATTTTAAAGTATTCTTTAATAAAAACTTATAATTTAAATAAATTACGAGCTCAATAAAATGCGCATTATATTTTCCACATAAAATTTATATACATAAACAAGTTCATCCTTAAATAAGACATAAAGATGAAAAAAAAATATATAATTTCAATAAAGTTTTTATAATTTTTTATTTCGTATATATATTTATATTAATTTTGAAATAAAGAGAATCCAATATATTTTTTAATTTAAAAAGGAAATTTCTAGCTACTGTGTTAAACGTAAATTGAAAAAATTCTCTTTTTTTTTTTTTAATTTATATGAATAGTTTCCTTCGGCATATAAAAAAAAAAAAAAAAAAAATTTTTTATAAATATATTTTCATCAAATAAATTTTTTTTTTTGCTTTTTTTTTTTTTTTTATTCTTTTTATATAATTTAGTAGAGAAAAGGAATAAATATATATATTAAAATGGAGTTTTGTTATGTTTTATTCAATAAATTAATGAAAGTACATATTTTTGAAAAAATTTTATTAAAAACATTATATAAGAATAATTCAGAAGAATTCTTTTAAAATTAAAATAATTGGAAAAAAAAAAAAAAAAAGTAATTTAGCTCAATTTTTAATATATTAATATAATTAAGAAGTTAGCTTACATATGTAAAACATTTTTTATCCTATTGATACGTAAACTTTAATATTATTGAAGGATTTTTTAAATATTATATTTACATATATATATATATATATATATATATATTTATATATTTATATGATTATATGCATATACGAAATATTTAAATAATATATTTTAAAAAATATTAATTTTTCTCTATTTTTTTTAAATGTTTTTTCATGATTTTCTCTAAATAGAAAAATAAAAATATCCCCTTTTGCCACATTTATTTATTCATTTTACATTTATTTTATTTTATATTTGTTAATTTTTGAGGGACTTATACTTTTTTTTTTTACATATAATTTTTGAGTTTTGATGTTATAATTTTTTTATAAGTTAAAAGTCTATACACTTATATTTTTTTTTTTATGTATATAAAACAGAAGAACATTTATTTTTGCACTATTATATAAAAATTAACCTGTACATATTTCTAAAAATTTCTTATCAATACAAAAGACTTTTTTTTTTTTTTTTTTTAATAATATTTAAATATTGGTATATTAGAAATTTTTTTTAAAATTAAATACGTCTACTAAATAAAAACTGTTTTGTTATTGAATCATTTTTAATGTAACAATCCTATACATATAGTAATGGAAGCATACTTAATTATGTTTTGAGATATATATATTTCCTTTGCATATACATATATATATATATATATATATTTTTTTTAATTTTTATGTATTAATTTCTTATTTTTTTTATAAACCAATTTTTTTTTTTTTTTTTTTTTTTTTAATTCTATAATATTACGATTATGCTTTATATACATACATATATATAAATATATTTTTAATTTTTATTGTTTTAATATTTTTTATTTTATGTTATATATATATCTTCTTTTTTTTCATAATAAGAAATCTTATATAAAAGAATTGAGTTTTACAAAAGTAAAAAAAAAAATAAAATAATAAATAAATTCCTGAACATAAAATATATCAAATTATAATATAATATTGTTTAAATATAGTAGAACAAAATTAATTCGTCAGTTTTTACATTTTTAATAAAAAACATAGGAAAGAAAAAAGTCAAAATGAATTCATTTAAATTTAAACATTCATCCTCTAATGCAAATTTGCAAAGTGCAGCCCATATAACTTTAAGACAAATTTTAGAACCAAGCAATGTTGATTTAAGATCGAAAAAAACACACATTGTTTGTACACTTGGCCCTTCATGCAAATCAGTTGAAACTCTTGTAGAATTAATTGATGCAGGTTATTTTATATATAATTTTAAATAATATGTAAAAATAATATCATATTTTTTGTTAATATCCCTATTATATTTCCAAGTTTATTTAAAAAATTATTACTTATTTTTTTTATTTTTATTTTTGATTAGGAATGGATATATGTCGTTTTAATTTTTCACATGGAACACATGAAGATCATAAAGAAATGTTTAACAATGTTTTAAAAGCACAACAACTCAGACCAAACTGCTTATTAGGAATGTTGTTAGATACAAAAGGACCTGAAATCAGGACAGGACTTTTAAAAAATAAAGAAGTTCATTTAAAAGAAGGTAGCAAATTAAAATTAGTTACTGATTATGACTTTTTAGGAGATGAAACTTGTATTGCTTGTTCATATAAAAAGTTACCTCAAAGTGTAAAAAAGGGAAATATTATATTAATAGCAGATGGTTCAGTTAGCTGCAAAGTATTAGAAACACATGATGATCATGTAATTACAGAAGTATTAAATAGTGCAACTATTGGAGAAAAAAAAAATATGAATTTACCAAATGTAAAGGTTGATTTGCCAATTATTAGTGAAAAAGATAAAAACGATATTTTAAATTTTGCTATTCCTATGGGATGTAATTTTATAGCAGCATCCTTTATTCAGTCAGCTGAAGATGTTCGTCTGATAAGAAATTTATTAGGGCCAAGAGGAAGGCATATTAAAATTATACCTAAAATAGAAAATATTGAAGGTATTGTTCATTTTGATAAAATCCTAGCAGAATCAGATGGTATTATGATAGCAAGAGGAGATTTAGGAATGGAAATATCTCCAGAAAAAGTCTTCTTAGCTCAAAAATTAATGATTTCAAAGTAATTTAATAATGTATATATTTTTTTTATAAATGTTTTTATGTCTTTATTTTATGAATATATTTTACTTTGCTCAATTGACAAGATATTCTTCCCCAATATATTATATACATATTATGCATCACAAAAAAAATAAAATTAAAAAATTAATTTTATATATTTAAGAGTGATGCATAAAATAATAAAAATAAATTAATAATATGACTATGAACGTTCTGTTCAAGTCCTTTATTTTTTTATCTTATAAGTCAGCTGTCTTATTATAAATGAAATATATCATTTCATTTATTTGAAAATAATTCAGTGTTTAAATAAGATAACAATATATATATATTAATACATTTCGTTATATGTATTTTCCGATGTATATTTATTTACATTTGCATATAATTGCCTAACTTTTTGTAAATATTTAATTATTACACTTTGTGTATGTTTATCTTATAAAGTAAATAAATATATATATTTTTTTTATTTATTAATAATTTATAGGTGCAACTTACAAGGAAAACCAATAATAACAGCTACTCAAATGTTAGAATCAATGACAAAAAATCCAAGACCTACTAGAGCAGAAGTGACAGATGTAGCAAATGCTGTCTTGGATGGAACTGATTGTGTTATGCTATCAGGTGAAACAGCTAGCGGAAAATTTCCTATTCAGGCTGTTACTATAATGTCAAAAATTTGCATAGAAGCAGAGGCATGTATTGATTATAAATTATTATATCAATCTATAGTGAATGCAATAGATACACCTATAAGTGTACAAGAAGCTGTAGCTAGATCAGCAGTAGAAACAGCAGAATCTATTGATGCTACTTTAATTATAGCCTTAACTGAAACAGGATATACTGCTAGATTAATTGCTAAATACAAACCTAGTTGTAGAATATTAGCTCTTAGTGCATCTGAATCAACAGTTAGATGCTTAAGTATACATAGAGGAATTACATGTATTAAAGTTGGATCATTTCAAGGTACAGATGTTGTTTTAAGAAATGCCTTAGAAATTGCTAAAGAAAGAAATTTGGTTAAAGTAGGTGATAGCGTCATTGCTATTCATGGTATTAAAGAAGAAGTTGCTGGTGGTACTAACTTAATGAAAGTTGTTCAAATAGAGTAAATGCACATTAACAAAAAAAAAAATAAAAAAAAGTAAAGACATTTATAAATAGTAACAACATATATATACATAGAAAATATTAAAATTATTATAAGAATTTATGTACATTATTAATGTTCGACTTATTAGAAAAGATACTTATATGCACAAAATATATATATATATATATATATATTTACGGAATTATAAAAAAAAAAAAATAAATAAGCATATGTTCTATGAAATATAATATTTACATGAATATTGATACAGAATTAAAGAAATATTTATATAAAATTACTAGTATATTATTTTTATCAAAAATTTTTAATTATATATATCCATATTATGTTAAAATGAAAAAAAAAGAAAAAGTTATTAAGTGAAGGAATTTATATAATATAAACGTAGATTTATAAGTGATTTGGCATGTGTGTAATATATATATATAATATTAAAATGATTTAATGTATATTAAAAAAAAATTATTATATTTATTAAAACTAATGAAAATTTAAAAAAAAAAAAAAAAAAAAAAAAAAAAAGAATTATAAACAAGTATAATTCTAAAATATGCTATTTGGTTTTTTCTTAAAAAAAAAGAAATATTTATAATTTTTTATATTTTTTGTTAAATGCAAACAAAAAAAAATTAAGATCATTTTTTTTTTTTTTGATAAATTTATTTATTACACTTTAATAAATTAAAAAAAAATTATATCCTATTCAATTTAAAAAAACATAATATTTTATTTTATATATTTTTCTTACATATTCAAAGGATTTAATTAATGAAGAGCAATTATTTAAAATTTTTAATTTTTATCAGTTTAAGGATTTAAAAAAAAAAAATAGTAGCAGATAAAACAAAATAAAACATAAGTTATTCTTTAATAAAAGTAGTATTTATTTGAAATTATAATAGCACCTTAATGTGAGAAATACAATATGAAAAAGTCAATAATATTACCACAATTATTAATGTTTTATATTTTTACATGTAGAACTGTTTGATTTTAACTATTAAAAATGAAAATATGTTATATATTCTCAATTTTCCTTTAAAATATATTGAGGTTTTTATAAATAACAGAATTATATATTATTTATGTGATTTGTGTGTAGGTTTATTTTATTTTAATTGGGTATCATTAGTTCATAAAATTAAAAATGAAGGTAATATGTTTTGAAAATTTGTTCAAACAATAATAAGTTCTACTGTTAATAAAAAAAAAAAAAAAAAAAAAAAAAACTCACTTTGTGAATATAAGTTAAATTTACAAATAAGAAACTCATTAAAATATTTAAAAAGAGAAAAGAATATTTTTTTTTAAAAAAAGATATTTAATGAGCATAAAAGCAATTTGTTAAAATGCCTGTCAAGATCTTATCTAAATATTTGTTAATAATTCAGCAAAATTGAATTAAAATTTTTTTTTTATAAATTAAATTTTTCTTTTTTTTTTTTTTTTTTTTATATTGCTTTAATTAATTATATTTGTTTACATGTTAAAATATCATTAGCATTATTTATAATTATTTTGTTTTAATTTCATTAGAAAAAAAAAAAAAAAAAAAAAAAAAAAAGAGAGAATAAACAGAATGTAAACCATTATAGAATAAATATTTTATAAGCGAAACATATAAAATATGTTATATGTTTCTAATGTAATATACTTTTATGAATGTAAAAGAATACATTTTATAATTAAAATCTAAGTAAAAAATTAAAAATTGTTCATTTCCTTCTATATATATACTCAATATAAATGACAATTAATATATAATGGATCACTTGAGAATAATATATTTGTTAAATAATTCTGTAAATAAAAAAATTGTTAAATAATATTATCTCCAAAAATAATTATTAGAAAATGATAAAAAAAGTTGTAGAAAAGAGCATTTTAAAAAATATTTCGCAACTAAATTATATGAGCTTAATCAATAAAAATTTCAATAAATTTTTCCACCATAAAGACAATACATATTATAGAAAGGAATTAAAAAAAAAAAATATTTTAAGTGATAATAGAACTATATCAACTAATATAAATATATCAGAGACAAAAGAAATAATAGTTCATGATAAATATAAAGTACAAGTTTCTCTATGTATTGATAGATTTCCCTTAAATTTTGTTCAGGAAGAATTTGAAAAAGATTTTGAAAAATTTAAAGATGAATGGCTTTTAAGAACTAATAATAATTTAGAAATAAGTGAAGATTTTTTACATATGAAATACAACTTAAGTTCCTTTGATGAAAAGAAAAATTCAGAAAAAAACATCTTAGAGAATAGTATAAATTATGAAAATAAAGAAAAGAGAAAGGAAGATGAAGATGAAGATGAATATGAAAATGAAAGTAAAGAAGAAAATGAAAAAAAAGATGAAACAGATGATTTGGAAGACTTAATTTCTCTTGAAGGAATGCAAAATATTTTTAAGGCAAAAGAAAAAAAAAAAGATGATGCAAATATAAAAGAAAAAAAAAAAAATGATATTGATATAAATGAAAATGATTACAAAAATATTAAAAGAAAACCAAATAATTTTTTATATTTACTAGTTAAATATAAAAAAACAAATAAATGGATGTTTCCATTAATTGATTTTAAAAAAAATTTAACAATTAGACAAAATTTAAAATATCTATGTTCTGAACATCTAAAATGTGAAATGCCATTTTTCATTGGATATTGTCCATGTACTTTTGAAAAAAGAAAATTTAAAATTCCCCTTCTTCCCAATGAAATTATTGGAAGAAAAATTTTTTATTATAGAGCTCATTACACTAATAATGAAAAAAATTTAGATGTTGCAAAAAATGAGTACATAAATGATTTTGCTTGGTTATCTCGTTCAGAACTAAAAAATTTCTTGTCAAAAAATAAATATCATGTAATAAAAGATGCATTACCATTAACTTAAAATTTTAAATTATTTTTAATAATTTAAGTAGTAATTATATAAAAATATCTAAAGGAATAATCTTTATTTATTTTTTTTTTTTTTAAATCAAATAATTATTTCTCTTTAAAACGTATAGATTATTATATATTCAAATCTTATTTAATATAATTTTTTGTGCAAAAAATGTATTTAATTTCTCTATAGATTTATTTTTTATTTTCCGAATACTTAAAAATGGATATTAAGAAAATGAAAAGTTTTACTTAAATGTATATATATAATTATATATTACTAAATAGATATAGTATTTTTTTTTTTTTTTTTTTATTTAAATTTCAAAAAAAATAAATACATAATAAAAGAACAATTATAAGACAAAAACTTTTTTCTCTTCTTTAAATTGTGAAAAAATTAATTTTACTTTTTTTTTAGTTAATCATTCTTTATATTAAAATTTACTCTTTCTATTTCCTTTTTAATTTTATCTTTTATTGCATTGCTATCAGTATGAGTAGAAATTAAATCACACTTTATATCTTCTTTTATATTCTTATTCACTTCATTTTCATCAAGCAATTTTCTAAAATATTCTTTCGACCATTCATAAATTCTTTTTTTTATTATATTTTCATTTTCACTTTCATAACCTCTTACTGGATTATGTAATATCATGTTTTTTGCATAAAGAATTAATATGCTATTTAATTTTTCAGAAATTTTTATTCCTTTTGATATATCATCTACTACTTCTGTTTGACATTCTATTTCTTTTTCCATTTGAAAAAAAAAAATAATGAAATTATTTTCATAAATATTTATATTATTACATAGGATAATTAAAAATATATTGTGTATGTATTTAATTTATTGTCTTTTATTACAATGAAATAATGTTAAATATTTATATTATTTTTTTAAATATTATCGCGTATTTTAGATAAACCTTTCTGAATATCATGTAAAAAATTATAATAATTATAAAGAATTATTGTAATTAAAAATGTTATTTCTTTTCTTATATTTCTGTATTTCTTTCCCAATTTAGGAAACTTTTATAATAAAAGGATCTACAATAAAAAAATAATTTTTCCTTTCTCAATTTAAAAAAATATTTTTTAAATATATTACACATTGATTTTTTTATATTTAAGTTATTATATTAATCTAATAGCTTATGTAATTTTTATTGGCTATAAGAAGTTTATTTAAAAACTAGAAAAAAAAAGACAAGATTAAAATTATATATATATATATATATATATATATATATATATATATAATTCTTTTTATTAAATATTTTAACATTGTGTAAAAATTTTAAATTATTTTTACTTTTATTTTATGATTATTAAATATTATGAATACTTTTTAATACGTGAATAACATTCACCAAACTTTTAATTAAAATATTATTGTCTAAATAAATATTTTAAAAATATAGAGTTAAATATTTTTAATTGTTAAAGTCAGAATAAAATAAAATACTCTTTAAATTACTTTTGCTAAAATACTAAATAAAAAAAATAAAATTTAAACTAAGCAATTTTATGCCTATAAAAATTAATGGAAAATATATTACTCTAATTCAATTTTCTAAGGACTATATATTATTATAATCCACATTTTAAAAAAAAAAAAAATTTTTGTATTAATTATTATTAATACTATTTTAAGAACAATAGAATATAAATAGTATTATCATTCTATTTTAAATAATATTCAAGTGAAGGTGATTAGTAGAAACGTTTTTATTTTTGTATGCTAAAATGTAGGGAAAATGTGTCCATCTAAACATGTATAATAAAAAAAAATACATATATAAAAGGTAAATATACTAAAAAAAAAATATATATATATATATATTTTATAGTTTTTTTTTTGGTGTATGTACTTACAATTATATAAAAAAAACTATTTTTTTATATTTATGATGGATTTGACTTATAAAAAAAAAGAAAGAAATTTTAAAAAAAACTTGGTAATATTTTTATTTTTTTTATTTTCTAAAAAGAAAATCTGTTTGGGAATGAATGTGTGTATTTTTTTTGTGAAGGATTAAAAATTTAATGTTCAAAAATTGCATTCATAGGGTATTGTGTAAACTAAATAGTAATTAACTGTTGCAATTAATATTTGATATTAATAGAAGTAAACAATTTACTTAATATTTTAATTTAATTAAAATAAAATCAGTTTTTTCTATTTACTCTTCATTAATTTGTTTAATACTAGTAATGTCATTGAATACATAATAAATCAGACAACCTATCTTAAGAATCGTGAGAAGCAATATGTTAACCAATTTTTTATTTTAATATTTTTTAGCATCCATGTAAAAATAAAGAAATATTTACAATATTCTTTTATAACACAATAAATTTTTTCTTACTATAACTTTTTTTTTTTTTTCTTTTTTAATTGAATTGTAAAAAATTAAAATTAATAAAATAGATATTCAAATTAAAATTTAATTTTAAATAAATAAATTTACATTATATTTTGTTATAATTTTGTTTCTTATAAGTACTCAAAGTTAATATTCATAAATATTACAGTGAATTATACAATTTTAACCTGTACAATATTCAGAATTTTTTTTTTTTTTTTATGCATAATATTCAAAATAAAACCTTTTAATAACTAAAAAAAATATTAAAATGTAAGTTGAAAATGAAAATGAAAAATGCATTTTTTTGTAAAATAAAAAATGAAATTATATCCATATGATAAGAAGAATATATTTAAAAAATGAAAAAAATTATATATAAAAAGTAACTTTTTTAAAAAAGGAAAAATTCAAATCTTAAATGAAAATTTTGTTAATCATGCAATTAAAAAATATACGCGCATATGTTAATTACTATGTATACGCAAATGTATTTTACTTCATAAAAGTTCCACATATATATATATTTTTTAGCGTGCAACTTTATTTGAGCAAAATAAAAATCATGTAATTAAAAAGATATTATAATAATTAGTTATATATTATTTTCTCTTTAAAAAACATTTTAATATTAAGTTAAAAAGTTTTTTAATTTCACATTTTTTTACTTTTAAAAATATTTTTTTTTTTTTTTTTTTTTTTTTTTTCTTTTTATGTAATATTACTATCATTTTTAAACTAGACAAAAAATGTTAACTATGAATCTTAATTCAAATTATTTATATTAAATTTAGTTTTGTATAATATGAATATGAAAAATAATATTATTATAATTGTAATTTATATACACATTTTTACATTTATAAAAGTGCACAAGAACAATAAAAAAATTTTATAAATTTTTTTTTATATTGAACTATGCAGCTACACTTATTAATTTCAATTATAATTGTAATAGTATTTTAATGCTAAAAATTTTATCTCTTCTTTTATCTTTTTTTTTAGTTTTATTATTTTTTTTTTTTTTTTTTTTTTTTTTTTTTGCATTATTTAAAATATATGCAAAAATAGTTATCATTATTTATTCATTTAATTTTATTATATTTTTCGTAATGTTTTTTTTTTGTTTATATTAACAGAAATTTCGTATAGTTTCATACTTACAATTTTTTTTAATTATAACATTTATTGCAATATATTAACAGTAAATTATCATTTAAGATAAAAAGGAAAAGTTAAAAAATAATTAATATTACATAAATGTTATTTTAAAAGGAGTTATAAAATAAAATAAAACATGGAACAAAATTGATAGTTTAATCTTTTAGTTTAAAGTGTGATATAAGAAAATTTTCAGCAAATTTATCTTATTTATAATATTGTTTTATTCAATTGTTTTTTTTTTTTTTCGTAAGTGATAAATAACAAAAAAGGAACATCTTATTAAAATTAGTTCATCGTTTATGTAGATAAAATATAACTTTTAATTTTTTTTTTTTTTTTCTGTTAATTTTATGAAGAAATATATTTTACTTTTTTTTTTTTTTTTACTTTATATTTAATTAATTTCTTTTGTATTCTATATAGAAGAAACATGTATAATATTTATATAAATTTAATATGTGACTATTGAATTAACATAAAATTATGTGAGTATTTTTCATTTTTTCATTTATATAAAATCAAACATACAGTCAATTTATAAATATAAATATATTTATATTTAAAATAAAAATGAAAAAAAGCTTTTTTTTTTTTTTTTTTTCGGTTTAAATAATTTTCTTTTATGAGCACTTTTTTTTTAAAATTATTAAAAATTTTAACGTTTTTTTTTTTTTTAATAGAGAAAAAAAATAAAATGGAAGACAAGATAAAATAAAATTTATAAAAATAAATGTATAATTACATTTTTATGATGTAAAAAAATTTTTATTAGTTAAATTTTATATTTTAACATACGAAAACGAATAAATACGTTTGTTTAAATTTTAATTCAATATAAATTAATACATTTTTATTTTGCAAAATTTGTTTGTTTTTTTTTTTTTTTTTTTTTTTATAATAT